AAATGATGATGGCAACATATGTACAAGTGTGCTTGATACAATTGAATTATGGATTAAAAGATCTGTAAGAGCTCCCAATAAAATGATTAATTATAAAAAAGAATAGATGCATGAGGTAAGTAAGCTTTGCAAGTGATAATATTATGTACATTTTACTCATAGTATTATCTTTCACCACTGCCTCATGTATAGTAGAGGAAAAAGAATGGTTTGGACCAAGGTGATGAACGTGTACAAACATTCCAGGGGAAGACAGCCAAGATGGCATCACTTGGAATACCGGCACTTGGAGTTTACAGAGTCTGCTAATTATGAATGTGTTAACTTTAACCTCTGATCAAAAGGGATAAATGTATCAGTGCCAGACACTCAAAGGCATGTGTTCTGTAGAAAGCCACAGCCTGCACACAGAGCCTTCCTGGCCTTCCTCCTATAATGAAATAGCAGTTATGGAATCGCTATTATGTACCTACTAAGCTCATTATATAGATTGTCAAAAAATCCTTGTAATATTTTACAAGGTGTTTGAGACCTCTTTTTTAAATCATTGAGGTTCAGAAAGGTTAAATCATTTGTCCAATACTATAAAACTATTATCATTCTGGTAGATCTAACATTCAACTCCCCCTTAGCCTTTTTGTGTGTCTAGTTTTCAACATCTCATGGTCTTTTGGGAAATGGATGTGCTCAATATCTGAACTTTTATCTCTTGTCTCTGTGTTAAACTGCACTTAAAAGTTTTGCATTGGGAGCTTGGCATATGAGGGGTGTGCTTAGGATGTTCATGAGATTAGTAGACAAAGACCACATCATGAAGTTCTTATTATTCCATGCCTATTACTTCCTATTTTATCATGCTGACAATGTGAGAATATCGAAACGTTTACATAAAGAATGACAAGGCTATCTTTACATAAAGTTACATATACATAAAGTATTGCTGTAGTAACAGAGGAAAACAGTTTCATCACATAAAAAAGCAATAAGGAAGCTCCACCATGAAGTCTGTGCCCTAGTCCAGATGGATTAATTTATGTGGGTTTTGGGGTCATGGAATTAGAGGAAATAGTTTTGATGGATATGAATGAGATGCAGCTATAAGATGTACAGATCATCTATATGGAATTGAGAAATGATAATAGTATCCAGAAATGAGAATTTAAAAAGTTCACCTTCTTTGTAAATGTACAAGACAGCACATTTACCAAAGTAGACTACATACTGGGAGTAAAATAAATTTTACTAAATTTGGAAAGATTGTAATTATTCAGAGTTTTAGTGAGTTTAATTTTCTAAAGATAGCTTTAACAATAATTCCTGCCTTACATGCTATTTTCTAGAATGATGTTGCTATGGTTTTGTCAATAAATTAAGTTTGTTCCTATTGATTGAAAATTAATAGATATTAGTGACTGCTTCTACCAAAGAGTAAGGGAGAAAGTTATATGGATTATAAGGTTGGATCAGGTAAGACTCTCCAATTTTAATTTAATGATTTTTGGAATCTCCACTTTCCAAAGTATTCATCTGGGAGACTTCCTATCATAACCCAGTTGCCATTGTCTGAATAGCACCAGCATTATAAGTGCCCATATATTTACTCCAGTTGAACCAGGATTTGAGTCATCCAAATGCAAGCATAAGATATGTTAGTGAAGAAACTGTCTTGGAAATTTATATTCTGTCCCCAATTGTACCAATCCTCTGCCCTTTGCATCACTCAAAGTGAAGTCCCAGACATCCTGCAGCAGAGAAATATGATTCTCACTATGCCGTTTGAATTATTGAGCCATAAAATCCATGAACATAATAGTATATTTATTTTATACTACTGAGTTTTAGGTGATTCATAATACAGAGACAGTAAGTAGAATACAGATGATATCTTCTGATGACAACAAGATTAAAACACAAATCAGTAACAAGAAATTTACTGGACTTTCTTTAGATGTTTGACAATTGAGCAATTTCCTAACTAAAGGGGATTCCTAATAGTCCACGAGTTGAAGAACAAAAAATGACAATAGAAGTTAGGAAATATTTTAGGCTGATTTATAATAAAATCCTGATATCCCATAATTTATAAGATTAGCGGTAATTTTGGATCTTACATATATACCTCAACTCAACTCAACTCACTGCCTTCTAGCTGATTCTGCCTCATAGAGATTCTGTAGAATAGGATGGGACTTCCCATGGAGGCTTCTAAGTTTGTAACTCCTTGTGGGAGTAGAAAGCCATGTCTTTCTCCTGTGGTGCAGGCTGCTAGTTTCGATCTGCTGTCCTTGTGATTAGCAGCAGCCCATTTCAAAACCACTGTGCTACCAGGGATAAAGATATATATTAGGGGTTAAAAAAAAAGATTTAAAACTACACGATCTAAGATTATAACTCAACAAACTAGACAACAATTAAACTATGCAGAAATAAATGAATGGAAATTCAAAGGAAACATCAGAAATTAATGAAGTAGGAAACACACATGAACAACAGAAAACCAAGAACAAAAGTAGTGCATTTTTGTGATCAGTAAAGTCAATAAATTCTTTTTTTATAATATCTTTAAAGGAGAACATTCATTAAGCCTTAAAAGAGACAAAGACAATACAAAGACAGACACATCATTCAGAAGAAGGAGGTCCAAGGTCAAAATAGTGTCTGAAGAGTTAAGTTTGGAAGCTAGTTAAATAAGTATAAGGGAGTTGAGAGGCGCCAGAAACCGAATCAGCCAAATTTTAGTGAACAGGCTTTATTAGGGGGAAAAACTCCCGACTGGGTGAAGTCTCGCAGTCCGCAGCCTCCGGACCAGGGAGTCGCGCCCCAGACAATGGGAGCGACCTTTTAAGGACGGGATGGCCCTGGGCACATATCTAGTAAGGCGGTCAGGGATTGGCTGGCACAGGCACGTCCAAGGAAGATTGCTGGTGATTGGTGAATGCAGGCATGTCCACGCCCCTAACCAGGTGAGGAAGGCTGCTGGTGATTGGTGGACGTAAGTACGTCCACGCCCCTGGCCAGATGAGGAAGGTTGCTGGTGATTGGTGGACGCAGGTACATGGGCGTCTCTGGTCAGGTAAGGGAGCACTTCTTAGTTCCTGAGAGAGCGCACACGTGACTGAGTGCAAGGTCTGGAGAGAATGGCTTTAGCCAACTCTGACCAGCTCCGCATGGGGTGGGGGTTTATCGATTTGGCCAGACATCCAGGAAGGTATAGATAGAATGAAGGAAACTGCCATCAACACATCCACTCACAGATGGCAGTGGGATTACAGGAATAGGAGGCTTGACTGGGACACGTGTTATGACATATAGAAGGACTGGCAAGCTTGGTCCATGACCTTCCTACCAACATATTCATAGGGATTGACTTATGACTATGTGACCCCTCTATTGTCCCCAGTATTGTGTGGCCCCTGCTTACCCCCCCCCCCCCCCCCCCCCCCCCCCCCCCCCCCCAACAAGCACACACCTAGGCAGGACCCCAGGAGAGACTGCGCCTCCCTGAGAGGGCTAGAGAGGGTGGAGATAGTATACTCCCCAAAGCACTCTGTCTGAGGGCAAGATTATCTAATCAATTCTTCCTGATCATTGGTTACAGACATTAAACACACAACTTTATTCAGATTTATAGTAATGATTTTATTTTAATATTTTATAATTAGTGGAAAATAACAATTAATTGTTTAATCTACAATAACTCACTGCCGTAGAGCCACTGGGGACTATCCACAACAGAAATGTCAACAATCAAGAAATAAATGTAACAAAAGTAGTCAAGGCTTATACTCTAAACACTAAAAAAAGTCTAAAGTAATTAAAGAAGAATAAATAAATTTAAAGCTATAGAAGACTCATATGTGGTTTTGTTAGTTGCTCGAGTTGGCTCTGACTCACGGTGATACTATGTATGGCATAATGATATGTGGCCCTGTCCCAATTTATCCTCATGATCGCTGGAATATGTTCATGGTTATCTTCTCACCTAAGGGACTCATCTTCTCCCACTTTATCAGACACTGCATCTGTTGTGATCTCTAGGATTTTTACTGGTTTTTTTAAGAAGCAGATTGCAGTGCTGCTCGTGTAATCATGGGTCAATCACACTAAATATTAATCATGGGTCAATCACACTAAATATTCAAACAATATGGACAGAAATGTACCTATGTATATTATTCCTTTTACATAAAGTTCAGGGAAAAGCAAAACCATAACCTTGGGAAAAGGTTGGTAATATATTTCTTGATCTGTGGTATGCTTGCTTTATGAATATCCATCTAACTTTGCACCTATCAATTTCTTGTAAATTACATTGTAACCAGTTCACTTGGAAAAGAACAGATAAATCGTCGAATTCATTGTTCCGTCGATCTTTCCTTCATAGGTCATTCTGCCTTGTTTTGCCTGTTCAGATAAAGAGTCAAATAGAGTGGTAGCTTCCGACGGCTAGAGATGTAATGATCAAGATTGCTCTTGTTCAACAGCTGACACCACCCACACTCACATCAACCTGCGCTTTCCCAGTCTCTTGCTTCCTAACAGGATGTAGTACTTTCCTGGTGGGCTGGGTCCCCCCCCCCCACTCCCCCCGCGCCTAACTGCTCTCCTGCTCATCCAACTGCCATCTGCTGTCTGGAACCATGTTGAGCCTCTTTGCGTTTTTTGTGTTTAGTGGGCTCCAGACAGTGTCTGGTAAATAGAAAGGGCCCTCCCCTGTTCTTTTGGGGGAAACATCAGCTCTTAAACTGCAAGTTTGTGCCCACCCCCACCATGCCCCTTTCCCCATAATAATCCACACTGCAATGGGGGAGGGGGCTCCCCAACTTGACTGGGAAAAGATAGATGATCCCTTGACTCCAGGGACATTTCCTCAGGATAGGAATTTCTTAACCTGCCCTCCCTAGGGAAATATTCCTACACCTGTATTCTTCTTTCCATTTAAAACCCAGAACTGTAGAAAGAAGTGCGGATCGAGGGTATTTGAAAAGACGGTAACATGTAGAATGCATACTTTGAATTTGGATGTGGAAGTAGAGTAGGAAGTGATGCGGTAGTGAGTATGCTAATAATCTAGCTTGTATTTTACAGAACCTGTACAAGCGGATTTCCAGATTACAATTCCAGAAAAAATAGGGTCGACAATAGATGAAGATTTTCAATCGCAAGTAATTAAGAACTATTTTGTTTTGGTATTTGAAATCATTTTACTATTTGATTTCTAATAGTAAGAGTTAGCTTTATGTTGACTACAGCTTATAGCCATTTAATGAATTTCGATTTGGGGTGAGATTTTCTGAGGTAGAAATTCCTTTTCAATATGAATCAGAATTAAAAATGTTTATTAAGACTAATCTCATATAGTGCACATTCTGCCATTTATCAAAATCCCATTTGTTAACTACTGAAAATCACGGCTCTTTTGGGTGCTATCTCTAGTCACTGTTTAGGAAATCTGCTTACTGATTTCAGCTAGGGAATTATCTGTCTTTTGTCCACCCAAATCAAGCTATGTGGAGGCCCATGATTTGGAGGAGCTCTAGTGACATAGGGTTATGTACTGATTTGCTGAATGGTTTGCCTTTCAAATCCCCCAGCCCACTATGTGAGAGAACTGTGAGGTGTTCTACTTCAATCGAGTTAGAATCTCAGAAACTCTTAAGGGCGGTGCTATCCTTTCCTTCAGAGTCACTATGAGGGAGGCAGGGTAAAGTCACGAGGGATGGCTTTAACCTGAAGATGTTTATTTCCTCTCCGTTTAGAAGATAGAAATTAAAATTCAAGCCACAAGCTCTAGGAGGAAGACTTTGTTTCTCTGTCAGCACTGGAGGAAGGTTTTTTTCTCTTCAATTTCTGCTTTGTGGTTAACATATCTTGGACAAGGCAGAAGGACCAGGCTTTCTAGTCCTGTAAAGAGTTCATCCTACCCTGTCCTTCCTATAGGGCTGCTTTGAGTTAGAACTGACAAGACAGCAGTGAGTTTGAAGTATGTATCCCAATCTAGGAATATTCTGTCAATAAATATAAAATTATTTCATTTCTCTTAGTATTATATTATGTCATCATTTTCTCTATAGTGTCTATACTAATGTGAACAGTGTGATTGTTAAGATGTCTTAGTTGATCAGTTTTAAGTATTTAATATCACAATGATGTTTAAAAATCGGCTTCATCTATAGCAATTTGGCTAAATGAAATCAATCAATGTGTATCATATACCAACAAAATAAAATCAAACCCACTACCATCGAGTAGATGCTGACTCATAGAAACTCTGTAGGACAGGGAAGAACTGAACTTGTGAGGTTCTGAGACTGTAACTTTAGGAGGGAGAAAAAAAGCCTCTCTTTCTCCCACAGAGAAGATGGTGTGTTGACTCGCTGACCTTTTGGGTTTGCAGCCCAACACACAACCGCAACACCACCAGTAAGGTCTCTGTATAATAGAGGAGAGACACGTGGTTTTTTTTTTTTTGAGACTTGTTTTATAGTACCCATGTAAATGATCTATTAAGTGCTAGTTACTCATTTTAAAAAATATTTTAAAACAATCCTTTCTATTTAATTACTTATTTCATGCTGCCTTGTGCATCCTAAAATGTTTTAATATGTCCTTAATCTTATATTAAACTAACATAACTACTATGTTAATATTTTTTTGATTTTCAGACTATATTGATTTGTGGGATAAGTTAAATAAATGAACAAAGAATTACATAAATGATATGATTAATTTTGTTAATTTTACTATGAACTACAATCCTTTAACCTCAAATTGAATTAAAGATGATGTCTGTGTTGAATTCCAGTTTTTAAACTTTATATTTATATTACATGATCTAAAATTACATTTTATTATCATTAATCCACACCAATAATTGTGCAGTTGTGCTTTTTAATAGTGTCAGTTTACTATATCTTTTTTACATGCTCTCATCCCAGGTGTTTTATAAAATATTAATTGAAGGGAAAACATACACTGTGAACCTCACACAAAAGTATGTAACAGTTTCTTTGCTTTATTTATGCATAGGTTTTGTAATCTAGAAACAATCATTTTTCACTTGAAAATGCTGTAATCATTTTATATATATATATATATGTATATATATTTATATGATGAATAAATACTACAAAAAATAATGTGGTATGTTTGGTATTAGAGGAGTTACACTTTAGAATGCATTATTTAAGTATCATTTTAGTTTGGTTGGGGAATGAACTGTGGTAAAGGTTATTCTAGAAAGAGGAAGCAGCAAGAGTGAATGTACTGAAGTAGGAACATCCTGTTATGGAAGTGGCTTATAGCATCATATAAGGAGAGTGGAGTGAGCAAGAATTTTTGTAGCCATAATTTTGAAGGTACATTTTAAGTGAAATTGTGTGTTCTGATAAATATAATAGAATGAATTAATTTTACCTAAAAGCTTTAGAAAACAAGGCTTCCTCACACAAATTGTCTTTTATCTTCATTTTATAGAAATATTTTACCCTATAATTTTAGGGTTTATGGTTATAATTCTTCAGAAATTATGAAACCTCTTATCCAAAAGTTTCAGGTGAGCTTCTCATTTTCTGTCTGTATTTTTGCCTTCTAATGACCATATACGTGATCTTTTATTTAGGTGCCTCATACTATTAGTGTTGAAAGACTTAGAGTTTTATATTAAAACAATAAATTTAACCATTCTTAAGAGAATTAAAAAAAAAATCTAACCAGCTATTGTTAAAGATAAATCCTGAGCTAGTCCTACTAGTCCTAATATACATTCTGTTAACACGATGAAATTACATTGCAATTAAAGCAAGTGTCATTTTACATGTTTAAAGACATTAGTTTCCAGATGAATAGATGTATTTGAGGTAATAAGACATGAACATGCAAAACTCATAATTAGAATGGACAATTATTTGAATCAGTAAACCACCAAGCTTTTAAAGAGGAAAGAATATTTAAGTACAAGAATGAAGAAAATACTCTAAAACTGATTATCATGACGGTGGCAAATTTATTCTTGATGTGATAGAACTATGGAATTGTATGACATATGAATTATATGCCAATAAAGTGTTAAAAATAAACCTTAACCTAAAATAAAAAAGAACAAAATTAGACCTAGTAAACTGAGTCCTGAAATGCACCCAGAATATATTACATAAAATCAAGATAGATGAATCTAGATAAGATAGGCTAGATAAACAATCTGGAGGAGAAAACAACAGGACCTATGGTTCCAGGAGGACAGGGGAGGGGGGTGGGGAGGGAGCGCAGGGGGAGGAAGTGGTGTTAACCAACCCAGGGACAACGGAACAACAAGTGATTCAAAATCAGTGGCAAGGAGGGTGTAAGAGGCCTGGTAGTGATTGATCAAGGGCAATGTAACTGAGAGGAAGTACTGAAACCCAAATGAAGGGTGAGCATGATAGTGGGACAAGAGGAAAGTAAAAGGAAATAGAGGGAAGAACTAGGAGGTAAAGGGCATACATAGAGGCCTAAATACAGGCATGTACATATATAAATATATTTATATATGATGATGGGGAAATAGATCTGTGTGCATATATTTATAGGTTTAGTCTTAAGGTGGCAGATGGATATTGGGCCTCCACTCAAGTACTCCCTCAATAAAAGAACACTTTGTTTGACTAAACGGACATTCCATGATACCCACCTCCCCAACACGATCACTGAAGACAAATGTGTGCATAAGGGTGTGGTGAAGAAAGCTGATGGTGCCTGGGTATCAAAAGATATAGTGCCTGGGGTCTTAAAGGCTTGAAGGTAAACACGCGGCCATCTAGCCCAGAAGAGACAAAGCCCACATGGGAGAAGCACACCTG